TTCCATTTAGAAAACTTTTGAAATGCACTTTTATTGCAATGCAATTAGTGTAATTCATTCCAAAGTGCCTGTTTTACTACTATTTTTAGCTTTATTCGTATGTCTTTCCGTTTCAAAATTTGTAATTAATTTATGGAGTTTGGCATCTCATTTAGCTAAAATTTAGCATACTTACACCCTTGTACAATACATAATATGATGCCATGGAGGCGATCAGATGATGATAAAATTTTTAAAATAGTTTTTAAATAGATTTGATTTAACATCAAATCAGAGACATTGCTGCTGTCTACGTTTTACTATTCTTTGTTTTCTTCATAATCAGTCCGTTAAAATGTACCGCTCTCACTGCGAATTTGCCACTATTTTATTCATATAATTACTACAGAAATCTAAATAATATTTAGATTTCTGTGATAATTACATATTATAAAGTAAAACAATAGCGTAGCGATACCATAAATAATAAACTATAATGCCATGTAATTTGTAATGTCCCAAAACTTGTTCGGTTTTATATTATATATGTACAAACATACACGTAGATATAAAGATACATGTATAATGTATATTTGACTTTAACAGATAAGGTATTTTCATACAATTCGTAAAGAAAATGTTGTAGAGATGGCTCGTAAAAATTTTAACATACACAATACACTTGCAAACATCCACACATTGACACAATTGACGCTTTTTTTAAAAAAAAAATACTCCCACACTAGAATTTTCTACTGTATCGTGGAGGCAGTTTACATACATAAATTGCACAGGGACAAATATCCAGACCCGGAACAATTACTTGTGTGCCATACCGGGATTTGAACCCGCGTCCCTCAACGCCGCGAGGCGCTACCTCCAGCGAACGACCTTGAGCGTTTGGTCTGTCGAAGCTCGCTACAATATATCGCGTAAGAAATCGCCAAAAGACGCCACCTACTGCTACGAACGTAGTATTATTTTTTCGATGTCAATGAACTATTCTATGGAAATAGACACGGCGTACAATGATAAATGTATTTTAATTTTCTTTATTCGATATATTAGTTGCATTATATTAGAATTATGTATTCTAATATATTATCTAATTAATAAAAAAGACTATTTTGATTATTTTTAACTATATACTATACTGCTAATATTGAATTAGCTTTTTATAGTGTAAATTATAATATTTGTCGAAATATTAATTATGGATTCGAACTTTACATGCTAATGGTGCTTCATTTTTGTTATTTTCATTTACTTACATATTGAAAATATATTTGAATAGTAGGTATTATTATTTTATTTAGCTTCTGAATTTTAGGATATGTTTTACCTTGAGGTCAAATATAATTTTGAGGAGCAATAGTTATTAGCTACTAATCTTTTATCTGCTATTCTTATTTAGGAACAATATTAGTAAATTGAGTTTGAGGGAGATTTACTGTTTATAATGATACATTTATTATTTTAATATTTACCTACTGGGTAGGTAATTATTAAAATAATAAATATAGCATTAGTAACTAAATAGATATTTTTTTTAAATTTTTAAAATTAAAATTTTCGTATTTTTAAAAATTACTAAAAAAAGGGTTTGAAATAATAGATTTTATCACAAAAGAAGAGAACTTGAAAAAAAAAGGAAAAAAAAGTGGGACCAAAGCCAAGACGCGAACCACGGAACTCCGATATCACGCCCGACCGACATACCACCTGAGCTATAACGACCGTTAGTGATTTGTCGAAATTTACCTTCTTTTATTGTAGCAGTTTTTTTATTGCCTGAAAACATGGACAAAAGGACATTTTCTAAAAATAAATCCAAGCGTTCGTCGCTAAAATCGTTGGAGCCGTATAATTTTCTCATCTGGTTCGGTTATATAAATATTTAAATATATAAAAATTATAAATTAAAATGAAAAGATAAATATACATAAATATCAATAAAATAAAAAATACAAAATAATATTATATTATTATTGTGTGTATATAGTTTTCTCATCTGGTTGGGATGTATAAATATATAATTATAAACGAAAATGAAAGGATAAATATACATAAATATCAATAAAATAAAATAAATACAAAAATACATAAATAAATAAAAGCCCAACCAGATGGAAGCCCTCGGCAGGGGGGACCAAACGGCCAAGGGTTAGGAAGAAAGGGAAAGAAACCGGCGGACGATGCGGGCAGTATCAAGGAGCACCGCCTTCTGCATTTGAGCCCGGAGCGGTCCGTCACGGAGTCCCAGTCGCCTCAGATGACCAGAGAGGCTAACTGGGATTAGCCCATTCGCAGAGACGACTACAGGAATAATTTCGGCCGGCAGACCACCCCATACGTCCGTCACCTCGTGAGCCAGGTCCAGATATTTTGATTGCTTATCTGTTTCGGCTCTCACGAGGTTCTCGTCATACGGGATGGTAATATCGACCAAAAATATCCTTGACTGTGCCCGGTCCATCAGCACAATATCAGGCTTATTCGCAAGAATAGTCCTGTCTGTGATGATGGCCCGGTCCCAGTAGAGTCTGGCGCGGTCATTTTCGAGCACGGCTTCCGGCAAGTACTTGTAATACGGCAATTTCCGGTCCACGAGACCGTATTTCAGAGCGAGCTCCTGGTGTAGAATTCTGGCTACTAGGTTGTGCCTGTGCAAGTACTCAGAGTTAGAAAGCGCCGAACAACCGGAGATGACATGCCTAAGTGACTCCCCGGGATGGCGACAAGCTCGACAGACGTCGACGGTGCCATCCTTTAGGATGTATCTCCGATAGTTGTTGGTCTTAATAACCTGATCCTGTATTGCACAGACAAAACCCTCGGTTTCCCCGAAGAGGTCACCGAAACGTAGCCAGTTGAGGGAGGCGACTGTATCTACGAAGGGCTCATGTAGAGCCTTGTAGTACCTCCCGTGGAGCTCCTTCTCCTTCCATACGGTCTCCCGGTCGGAATTGCTAAGCACTGCTGGGTCCTGCCATTGCTCGTTGGCTAAGGATAGAGGGGTAAGCCCTTTATCACTAGAAATGACGTCATTATAGAATGGATCATCCGATCTCGCCAAGAAGTACTGACGGAGACTGCACACTTCGCGATTATGCATGGTGAGCGCGCTCAGAAAGCCACGCCCACCATACTTCCGCGGCAAGTACAGCCTCATTACCGACGATCTCGGATGATGCATCCTATGGGACGTCATGGTAGTGCGGACTTTTCTATCCAGGGCGTTAAGCTCAGTCTGAGTCCACCTGAGTATGCCAAAGGTATACATGAGGACAGGCATGACCCAGCCGTTATATGCGTGTGTCTTATTCACACCGGACAAAAGGCTGTTAAGCACTTTGGTCAAGCGTGCATAAAACACGTCGCAAACTGACTGTTTCATACCAGCCTCATCGATACCGATGTTCTGTGACATACCCAGGTATCGGTATGTTTCAGCCTCGGAAAGGGTCCTTAAGTTGACGGGCATAGACAAGTCTATGCCCTCAGAGTTAGCAACCCTTCCCCTTTCAACATGGAGGACCGCACACTTATCCGTCCCCAGCTCCATTCCAATGGAACTGCTAAATTCACAAGTGATGTTTAGCAGTTCCATAAGATGGGAGCGACTGGAGGCGAATAACTTGAGGTCATCCATATAAAAAAGGTGGGTCACTTTTGTCCCTCCTTTCCGTAGCTGAAATCCCCTCCCGGAGCCCTCCAGTAAGGTACTGAGAGGGTTAAGAGAGAGGCAGAACCAGATTGGACTCAGACAATCGCCCTGGAAGATACCCCTTCTTATCCTTATGTGGTTCTCCGCAGCCGTCATCCGCTCGCCCAGATGACAAAGGATCGTACTCCACTGCCCCATACACTGCTCGAGGAAGTCTCTAACTGTACAGTCAATCTTGTACAGCTCGAGGACCCTCTTTAGCCATGTATGGGGCACCGAGTCGAACGCCTTTCTGTAGTCTATCCAGGCGGCAGAGAAGTTCCGACGGTTGCGTTTCACCACTTTGCCTATGACCGCGTCAATGAGGAGTGGTTCCTTAGTTCCACGACCACCGCCCCGACATCCATTTTGAGCGCGTGACATCACCTGGTTTAGCTCCAGGTGACGAGTGATTCTCGCGCTCAAAATGGATGTCAGTGTCTTATATATGGTGGGTAGACACGTGATGGGGCGGTATTTGCTCGGGTCTGTGGTATCCTGATCTTTAGGAACCAAGTGAGTGATCCCAGTAGTGAAGAGGCTCGGGAGTGACTTCTGGTCGAGAGCCTCTTGAAACTGTCGGGCGAGCACAGCGTGACACACTACGAACCCCTTCAGCCAGTAATGATGCAGCCCGTCGAGCCCCGGACTTTTCCAGTTCGGGGCCCTACGGACCGCCTCAGCCACGTCTTCTGGCGTTATGGTGATGGGGTCCATAGGCGTAACACTCGCACCCTGGCTCGCCACAACTTCCATCCAAGGGCCCTCACTGTGGTTTACGGGCTCTGACCACAGGCCACGCCAGAATGCGATAATGTCAGCCTGATCCGGTCCTTGGCCCGCTCCACATACCTTTGGTCGCTCCAATAATTTATAGAGCCTCTTCTGATCACTCTGGAAGAGACGATTCTGGTTGAACCGCCTTGACCCCTCGGAAAATCGTCGAATCCGCTTCCCCCAAGCAGCGATCTTTTGCTTCAGGTCGTCTATGCGCTCCGTTAGTTTCTGCGTGATATCCGGCTGGGACAAACTGATATTTGTCCCAGCAAACGCCATCCTAACGGTGCGCATAATCCTCGGTCTATTATTACCCGACCTGAAGCTTGTCAGTCTGCCGATAAGGGCCCTTGCCTTTGCGATACGGTCCTCGATTCTTTTCCTCCAGGCTGGGATGGCGTTACTTTGTGTAGTAGCGCGTCCAGCCATGGGAAGTTTGGCGCCAATAATACGGCAAACTGCCACTGCGGCGCCAAAGAGAATCGAGTCCGTCTCGCAAAGGTCCCGGCTGGCTTCCAAATAGGTCACCAGCATTGGGTTAAGAGCCCTCACGACAGCCCGATTTCGCTTGCTTAAGGGTATGCGGGGGAAGTCGCGGTCGATTTTCGAGAGGGGTGCTGCGCGTTTCCAAAATCGCCTCTTCCAATATACTCCTCATTTGCTCTAGTTCGTGGGAGACTATTTCATCGTCGTTCGAATCAACCACAACTGGAAGATCCATGGCGGCTTCCACGTGTGGATGCTGGTCTGTCGAATGTGGAGCTGCATCTCCAGCCATAGCCGATTCATTCGACGACGGAATAGCCTCACGTCGTAGTCGTTCGAGTTCGGCATCATCAAATATTTTCGAGCGCATGATGTACCGAACTCGGTCTGCCAGGTTTTGTTCCGTGACGGGGATAGACGGCTCCAGCACAGCAAAAAAGCAATGCATCCGAGACCTATACGCTATTCCCACAGTTTCTTTCCCTTTCGCCCTATAGTACGCCCGCAATGCGTTTTCGTTCATCGATTTTGTCCAACGCATGCGACGTGCTCCACCAGCGGCGGGTGCCGCTTGCTGGGTCCGAGAAGACCCAGCCGACACCAAGCCTTCTGGTGGGGATGATGGATGCGAGGGGCTGCTAGGTGATCGTGCAGCTCCTCGCGCTCGGCTGGCGGCCCGCATGCTGCCGCGTCCAGCGCCAGCTCCAGCCGCGCCCCGGCGACCCCCAGGCGGCGGCCCTATGCGCGTTCCTTTTTGTGTTTCTTCCATCATCCATTTTATGGGCGCCAAATAACGGGAGACGCCCAAGCCCGGCACCGTTTCGTGGTTGGGTCATATGCACAAACGGACCTTTGCATCTACAATTTTGCCTAGGCACGGCGCTCACACCTCTTGGCAGGATGCTGACTGACTGCGCCGACGTCGCAGTTTTGTCACATAACTGTTACGTCAGCGGGCGATGGGGTCGTCACTTCCCTACGCCTATATTATATTATTATTGTTATTATTATTATTATAAGTTGTGGTTCGGTGAAGCTGCAACCTAATGGATCATGATCTGAAATTTTTATGAATAGAAGTGGCTGACGTCAATTATTATTATTCTTATTATTTTTTCATTACTGCCTTTTTCAACCTCATAAGATATTTGTAACTGCAAAAAAAGAAAACTACGTATAAGTAAGTAAATCAGTAATATAGTGTTATGTATGATTCAGACTAAATAAAGGTTCCTAAAAATAGACGTAGGTAAAGAAATTGCATAAAAAATTACTCAAATAAAAATGCAATAAACTTGTTAATTTTATAGGTACTTAGTAAAATATTAAAATAATAAGTTTTTAGGATATTTATGTAAAACATAAAGGTTATATTATGTTCTAACTACGTTCACTCAAATAATATTATGTTTGCGGCGAAATACGGACGCGCGGCGACCAGCGACGCGGCCACCTCTTATGAACGCATACAGCGTAATGCCGCCCGCACTCTGCGCACGCCCCCTTTATCATAGAAGTCACACAATTTTCGGAATTATTTCAATTAAAAGAGAAAAAACGAACTTAAAAATTTAAATAAAACGTGGAGAATATAGATTTTTTTAATTATTTATCCATTAGTGTTATCCTCAAATGATTAGAGCGTTGCGTTTAGCAACAGATGCATGTAATCAAGAATTTTAGTCATTTTTTAAAAGTTGATTTTAAATGTATTTATAGCACATAAAAATAAATTAGAACGTGGAATGCGATGATAAGATATCGAACATTAATAATGTACTTTTAGATGTAGTTTATTTTTCATAACTAATGAGATAATAGAGTCTGAAAAACGCACTTTCGCAACATTTTGGTCAGGGATTCACCTTAACGTCATCATTAACATTACTCACGTGCGAATTCTCGCATGAAAGTAGCGCGAAGCGTGATTGAAATTAAATGAGAAGATACCGCTTTTGCAATATCGAGTGAGATGTGGCGACAAAGATAACATAACAATTTTCTTGTACATCTTACTATACAGCTACGATAATGTATCTGTAGCGACCTTCGATCGATGTTTTCGATAAGCGATGGTGTCTCGGAAATGATTTATAGATAAAAAGTAATCATTTTTTCATAAAAGATCTCAAGTCTCTAGGCTTCCAATGTTAATACTTTACGTACCGAGTAAAATGGGGTGAATAGAAACCACAGGGTCTTGTTTCTAACAAGACTGGTCATTTCATTAAGTTGTCTGTAGGTTGTTTCTACGGATCGGGAGCGTGTGTTTATTTTTACTGTTTATTATATTTTAACATATTTCCTTTAATTTGGCAATCTTGAACCTAGAAAAATCTTTATCAAACAACCACACTTGTTTCTATTCACCCCATTTTACGGGTAAAAGGTACTAGATACATTCAAAATTCAAAAAGTACTCTTCCTCTTATTTATACAGAGTTACAGAAGCGTCTTTTTATAAAAATTGCTGGTACCCGGTGCTTTGCTGACATAGGAGAAATAATAGTGGAAATATTGTTTTAAATATGGAAGAGTTCAATTGTTTAATTAGGAATGATAATATATTCATTCAATTTGAATGATATATAACAACTTTCAAATAAATTTGTGGGTGCGATACGCGCCTATAACCTTCGCGCAAGTTCCATCAATAAGTTGACAAAGTTTTATCGCAATCTGATGAACGGTATGGTAGCGCACAAAATACGAAAAACGAAATTTAATCTTTATATATTAGACACTAGCTGTTCCACGGGACTTCGCACGCGTGTAATTTTTGTTAATGACGATTGTATGTCATGGGTTTTTTTTGTGCGGAATACTAGTTATTTTCTAAAATAAAATTAACCTAATCTAAGTTACTCCTTATAACATCAGCTATCTGCCAGTGAAAGTCCCGTCTAAATCGGTGCAGCCGTTTCGATGATTATCCGGAACAAACAGACAGGCAGACAAACATTTTAAAATTGTTTTTTGTTATTAGTACCGTATATATATATATATATATATATTCATATGCATTTAGTAAAAATCTCTTATTTTGACATTACAAACAAACACTTCAATTTTATTTATTTGTATAGATGTAAACTAAACTACCTTCAATAATAATCAATAGTGGTTAAAAATCTGATACGATCATTACATTATTTATATCATTATTTTATCTATTATTATACATAACTTAGTAGCTTTATTAACTTCATATTACTATAACTACAGCCCATCTGTACTCGTACACTCCTGAACATAGACCTCCCCATACATTGCTATAAACTACGAACCTAAGCCTACCTACGAGCATCGACTACCCGAGTGTTTCATCAGGTCACTCCATCTGATGGGGATCGCGCAACACTGCGGTTCCCAGTACAAGGCTGCCACTCCAGAACCTTCCTTCCACTCGAGAACTACGATGGGCAGCAGCATCTTCCTATCAGCTTTAATGAAAAAACTGCGCTTGTCAACTTATTTACCAAACGTGGCAACTATTTTACGCTGTAGAACCTCGCTGAAACCTTATTATGGTTGTAGCACGATTATGTCGGCTCGACCGGGGTGGTTAGCGTAGTCCTTACAGAAAATATCAGTGTTAAATAGCAGCTTAATGCTGCTGTGTTTCACGTAGTGAGTTTAGAGAACTGGTGATCCTTTTTGTTGGATGTGAGACACTCCATCTTAGTCCTCACGGGTGACAACGCATCTGCATTTTGATTCTTAATCACGGATAGATGTAGATGTCTAGGGGCCACAGCAATCAATTACCAACAGGTGGATTAGGAATCAAAATGCAAATGCGTTGTCATCGTGAGGATTAAGATGGAACGCCTCCTTTCCAGTAAAAAGGATCTCCAGTTCTGTTAAGCTGCTATTTCACGCTAGTATTCTGTGCGAGCGTGGTTCTTTGCCGGTCGAGCCGACCCATTCATGCTACAACTATAATGCAAATATAGCTGCAGCATGACACTGCCACGTGTGTATATATATATATATATATATATATATATATATATATATATATATATTGCTGTCAATTTTTCTTTGACTTTATAAAACCTCACAAATCCTACGCAAAAACATTTTTATGCATTGAGTAATTACATTAATAATCTGCCCGTCACTGATGTCACCGTCTAATCTTTCAGGAAATGCAAGATGTGTTGGACGAGGACGAGGATATGAGCGACTGGCTGGTGGAGCGAGAATCCAAGTCCGGTGTGGTTCTTCACGACAGGCTCATGACAGACGCGGCGTTGGGTGCGGTACCAATAAAGACAGAACACTCGTACAGCCTACATTCAGATGTGGAATCGTCGCCACCTTCACCAAACCACACCAAAGTAGACGGTAAGCAGTTATAACTGGTGTATAGATCCACTCGTCTCCCACTTTATATAAAGGTTAGGGTTAGGGTTATTTTTCAAAGAGTAGCCAAATTTTAAACTTAAGGTCAAATACACAAATAATTAATGATATACCGTTATTGCAGTTTTTGAAATTACGAGTAAATAAGGCTTCTACTTTTATTTGAAATTATCCCAAATTGAATGTGACTTATGGGTAACAACGTTTTTTTTCTATCGATCGCACGCACACATCAAGATCAGATGAAATAACGCATTACCACGCATTTCGAATTTTAAAGATAAAAAGGACAGAAGAATGTTTGAAATTTTTTTAATTAATTTTTTTTCCCCATTTGACTATATTACTTACTCTGAGAGCGTTAACCATCTGACCGTGGTAGCTCAGATGGTTAACGCTCGCTGTAAATATAACAGAACGCGAGTAACCCGGGTTCGATCCCCGCCGGTACCAATGAAATTGTTAGCTGCAATTTTAAGTGCTGATTTACCTCAAGCTCGGCGGTGAAGGAAAACATCGTGAGGAAACCTGCATGTCTGAGGAATAAGAGAAAAAAATATTTCGAAGACATGTGAAGTTCGCCAACACGCATTGGGGCAGCGCGGCCGACACTTGCTTGCCCTAAAACCCTCTCAGAAATGAGGGGAGGCCTGTGCCCAGCAGTGGGACGTATATAGGCTGTAAATATTACTTCACTTATTCTGAACCTTCTCTGCTCTCTCTCTTTCTATTTTAAATTTCTTGGACTTTAGAAATTAAAATTTCGCTTGTCAGATGTCAACTTTTTATTTAAAAACCTTTGTAAAGGCAATAAATTCTTTCCCTTACCATTTATTTCACATATTATTTTGATAATCGCAGCTTACTTGTATAATAGAGGTCAGTGTACTTGCATACTTACCCATGAAAACCTTACCGTTGACCTTCATCCAATCCATTTATTACAGTTTATAAAATTCCACTGTTGACCATAGGACTCCTTATGGATTCCGTTGACTTAGGACCATTAAATTTGGCAAGAAACACGTTTTCGCATTAAAAGTGAAAGATACAGTCCGTAATTCACTAATTTACGATAATTAACTTCATTTTGTAGTTGATGATGTGTTAATGAGACTGAAATTTGTACATGTTAATATTTGAGTCCGATATATATTTTTCTACTGCAAAGTTAAGTTTGACTTTCAATCTGACTTGCCTTTTGGTCACAGTTATGTTCGGTGCTTACTGCGTACCTAAAATTGCCGAGATGGATGAAGAATTTACAAAAGCATATGATTAAGTTTACACGGAACCCTCAGGGCGCGAGTCCTTGCACTGTTGCCCGACTTTACTAAACCATTAATATTCTTCCCTGTGTTCGGACAAAGGAAGTAGGTGCTAAGTCACCAACGTTCATTG